AAATTGAATAACAAAAACAATTGAAAGTCGATATTCAAATGTTTCAAATTTAAAAAAAAAAATCACAGAAACCATTTGAAAAAAGTTTCATTCGAAAACCTCAAACCATGAAGATTCTATGAAAATTCAAAGAACCTATTGCAATAAAACGGCAATTTCATACTTTAACCCCTAATATATAGTAATTCTGCCCTCGGAAGGAAAGTTTAGTTGTATACATATTTGGGAGCAGGATCGGCCTAATTCTTTGCACAATTCTATCCCAATAATTGTTGCATGTACTTACTTATACAGTACAAATCAAATCAAACAAATCATATTTCACGTTTAATATCAATAGATTCTAATTAGTAATTTCAGTTACAATAATTTGTTCATAAATAACACAGAAAAGGCATAATTAAGAGTATTTGTTCCTTTTGGCTTTGTAAGGCAAGTGTTTGGTTTTGTAAGCAAGTCACTTTTGAAGTTAGTTGTGCCACTTGGCAGTATAATATTTTTATATATATATTTTTTATATTTTACAAAGTAAATTAAAGATTTTTTAAACGTCTAATTAAAATACAATTAAAGTTTCTGTACAAAATGTGTCTTACGTGTATGTGCAAATAAAAATTAAAAAGTATATTTGAACTATTATTGTTCCTCTCATTGACCGAATTTATAATTTGCTGCTAAGAGGCACACTTTCTTTCTTGCATTGCAAACGTTCGAGTTGTAAAAGTATTGTAGCGAAAACAGGCTAGTGAAAATGCGCTAGTTTAATTTCCTTTGCGATTTTTATATTACGCCCGTATAATTATGGAGGCAAATTCAGCCGGCCGCGCGAGAATCGATAGGTCGGTCGGTGTCTAAATCCCGATATACCCAAGCCCGATGTCACGGAACACTGATTTTGGTACACTCCATCCACTCAGCCTCAGGCACGATGCCGTATCTATCATGTGATACGAATCACAAGTTTATTTTTAACAGCCGCGAACCGTCCGCCCTTCCTACACTGCAAAATGTAGCATGCATTCAAGTGCAGCACTTGGACGCACTTTTTTGGTCCTCGGAGCTCCTTGGTACCTACATATAAGGTAGGTATATAGTAGGAGAAAAAATTGTATTGTGCAAAGGAATCAAAGCCCTACGCGACACTATTTTTTTTTTTACTATTATTTTGTTGCGTTCGCGAGACGGCGAACCAGTGCATTATTTGAGAAGACCGTCACATGATGTAGTGCTTTTGCTCTTACATGGCCCTATTGCCGCAGGCAGGTACAGTCGCAGCATAACGTACGTTATTCCGCGTCCCACTCTTTGCTTCTATCCGATTACGACATTGTCTGAAGCTGCAGGATTTATCGTAAATCTCTTTGCACATAGAACACCCCTCACCTGTATACCAGTCGTTTTATCGACCATGTTCTGTATAAAACTGAGATGGTCATAGCTGAAGCGAACATGTGTATGTATCTTCGATCACTTCTGTACATTAGGTAAATTTTTTAACATAATTCAAATTCAAAATTCAAATTCAAAATAATCTTTATTTCATAGGTAAGCATTATTACACTTGAAATCGTCGCAATATTAAACTCTACCGCTCATTCGTAAGGCAGATTCCCCTGAGAAGAATGAGCAAGAAACTCTAGGGGTTGCTCTTTGTAAATAACATTTAATATTGTACATCAGAGACATCAGAGATCGAGACTACCTCCATGAGCTAAACGGGTTACTACCACGGATTTTTGTCATCCAAGTACGCAGAAGTTGTATAATAACCTTTAGTATAAAGTTTTTGTTTCACTATAGTTTTAAACCTCGTGAAAGGCAAATTTTGTATATCAACCGGAATCTTGTTATAGAAGCGTATACATTGCCCCTTAAATGATTTTTTGACTTTGTGAAGACGACTATCAAGAAAAGCTAGTTTATTTCTATTCCTCGTATTAATGTTATGTCTGTCACTATTTTTCATAAATAAATTACTATTCCTTTTAACATAAATTACATTTTCATAAATGTACTGTGAGGCTAGTGTAAGAATGTTAATTTCCTTAAACTTATCTCTCAAAGATACTTTGGGGCCCAGATTGTAAATTGCCCTAACTGCACGTTTCTGCAGGACAAATATTCTATTGATATCGGCGGTATTACCCCAAAGCAAAATGCCGTATGTCATTAGACTGTGAAAGTAGCTGAAGTAAACCAATCTAGCGGTTTCGACGTCTGAAAGTTTCCTTATTTTTTTAATCGCGCACACTGCAGAGCCGAGCCGTTTTGATAACTTATTTATATGGGGACCCCATTGCAATTTAGCATCTAACGTTATACCTAGAAATACAACTGTATCCACAAGATTCAATTTTTCGTTTCTAACTACAATGTTTGTAACCGTCTCTCTAACATTGGGTAATGTAAATTTCACACAATTTGTTTTTTTTTCTCATTAAGAAGTAGGTTATTAACAGCAAACCAATCAACTACTTTAGATATAGCATTGTTCACATCGTCGTAGGAACATTGGTGCCTTTTAACTTTAAATAATAAGGAAGTATCATCAGCAAACAATACTATCTCATGTTTTATACCCTCCACAAGGCTAGGTAAGTCATTAATATAAACTAAAAATAAAAATGGGCCTAGAATTGAACCTTGAGGGACACCCATGCTAATTGCAGATCCTGACGATCTAGTACCGTTAACATCGACCCTCTGTACCCTACCACGCAAATACGATTTAAGAAGGTCGAAATCACGTCCCGCCACACCATAATGGCGAAGTTTCCTGACCAGTGTATCATGGTGCACACAATCAAAAGCTTTGGAAAGGTCACAGAATACACCAATAGCATCATGTGAGACTTCCCATGCATCAAATATATGATTAATCAACTCGACACCAGCATCGGTTGTAGAGCGACCCCGAGTGAAACCAAATTGTTTAGGAGACATTAAGTTATTACTATAAAAATGTGCACACATCTGATTTAGAATAATTTTTTCAAATATTTTACTGAGAGTTGGTAGTATTGATATAGGTCTGAAATTGGTGGGGTCAGAAATACTACCAGATTTGAAAAGTGGAATAACTTTACTTTGCTTCATGAGGTCAGGAAAGACACCATCATCAACACATTTATTAAAGACACAGGCTAAATAAGGCGCAATACAATCAACTATAGAACTAATTACTCAAAATACATGCAGATGGCCCATTGGCCATGTCCATTAAAATTTATAACAAATTACCCGTCAAAATTCTGAATATAGATAATAATAATAAATTTATATCAGAGCTGAAACAAATTCTTCTGTCGAAAAGCTATTACAATGTTGATGATTATTTAAACGATAGATACATAATTAATTAATGGCTTGACATTTTAAATAGACTTAAATTCTAATTATTTGACATTTTAAATATATATAAATTCTAATTATTTGACATTTTAAATAGTTTTTAGTTTGACTACAGGATAATTATTATTGACATTTATTTTTCATAAAAACTTTTAATATTTGGTGCATTTAATTTTTAAGATTTATAATTTGTACAATTGTTCATATCTGGAAATAAATATATCAACATAGCGTCCTCCTCTCTACCTTGATTAAATTGCTGTGCCCAACAGGGTCCACAATTGATGTTCATAGATATAAGTTTTTCATCTCTGTATTTTTACATTGTGGAATGCAATAAATTACTGATTACTGATTACTCTGACTGAAAGACCATCAAGATCAGCAGTATTTTTTATATTTATAGACTAAAAGGTTTTAACAATATCGTTAGGAAATACATGACGGAACCTTAAATTAGTGATGCTAACTGCATTATTTTCTTTTAGTAAGGATTCAGCGGCGGTGGGAGATGAATTTAACGACTTAGTAGCCAAAATTGGAACGTCAGTAAAAAAATTTTCAAATATTTTAGCAACTTCTGCGTCTGTGTTCACAATTTTGTCATTAAATCTTAGTTGAAAATCTAAGTTACGAGGTTTGACCCTTCCAGTTTCGCTGTTTATAATATTCCAAGTCGTTTTTACTACATTCGCGCTGCTTTTTATTTTATTATTTATAAACATGGCTTTGGCTGCAACACAAACACGTTTAAACATTTTCGAATATTTCCTAACAAAATCATTAAAACTGTTACTAGTGTTATAAGTCCTTTCACCGTAGAGATCATATAGCTTTTGTCTACTTTTATGAATTCCCACTGTTATATGTATACATAAACTGTTAACATAGAAAAGAATTAGGAAAAATGTAATTTTTCCGTTTGTTTCGCTCAACACTTCTCTCCGACAGCAATTGGACGCTATTGTTTAATAAAAATTAAACTTATCATTTTAAACTTCACCGAGTCGAAAGACACGAGTGGGTTGTATCTACGGCAACCTGGACAACCTGTACATGTATTTACTGTGTACTGTATTCATTCGGTGATAGAAACGCCTCTCGCCACGCACTTACGGGCACCTACTGTCCTCCGATTTATTTCATTAATTAATATGGCTTTTATTATATTTTCAAGTAAGGTCAAGTTATTCTTGTTCTTTGCGTCTTTTTTACTTAACGCGCCGCCGTCAGCCACTATGAGTAATCTAAGACTTGAATAGTTTCATGGAGTTTCCCATTTGAAAAGGACGTACCCCATTATGTGTATATAACTATTAATTAGCCGGTATGGCATTTGCGGAATGCGATCGCGATCGATCGACGCCGCCAGGAGTGCACCGGAATGTGGTCGGCGCGACGCGGTGGTATTAGGAGTATGTTCATGTGGCCATCACAGGACGTCTGTTCTCGCATACACTCGGTTGCAATTACCCGACACCGCTCGTGTTTGTGTTGGAGTGTAACTATAGATGTATGTAGACGCTCTGCGTTGCGGTGGCTATTTCATGTACTTACTTGTAGCAGTTCAGCCAATCGCTCATTTGACGTAATTCCGACTGAATGTTGCGGAGTGAATTAGGAAATAAAATTGTTTTTGATGTTGACAGAGGCCACCAATTCCGACCCCGGCGGCAGTGTGAGCGCCGCGAGTCCCGGCAAGCAGCGGAGGGGATTCAGTGGGTGAGTACCTTCAATTTATTGCACGTTGTGATAACGGACGGCCAAGTTAGTGAAAGTGAAAGTGAAGAGGCGACTTATTGAAACAAATTGTGAAAATAAGCGCTTAGCTTATGCGTAGCCGTATATAACATTATAGGTACCTATTATAGTCTACTGAAATAAAGTGACTTGTGTGTGTACTCAGGAAATACGTTACCTTGGCGCATTATCTTCTGCTTACTTGTTGATATTTGGCGTTAGTCATCATTTATCTTTATGTGCGTTATCTTAATTCCTTTGACGACGGCTCAACAGTCAGTTGGTCGGTGGTTCGACTAGGCCGTCACACGCGCAGCGCGATGCACAGTAACAAACGGCTCTACTGCTCCGGTTGTTGTTGTCACACTTTCAGGTGCTGATTGCTAGAGGATAGATTGTATTCATGTCTCGAGTGATGATTAAAAGTGCTGCGAGATGAATGTGATTTCTGTGTGATGTGACTTGTTAAAAACCACGTAAACAGTCTGGGTGCTTAAAAGTATACGTACATAGAGAGCCTACTCACAGGGGCGGACAAATTATGTCGGTTTTAAATTCTGTCTGTCACACACTATGTAGTACATACGTACGAGAATGTACGTGGAGGCGCTATCCCTGACAGACGACGAAAGGACGTGGAGCGACGTATCGTTTCGTTTAATATTCCCCGGCGGCAGTGGCGCTCTCCGTCGACAAGTGGACGACACTCACTCCATTGTTGTAATTGTTTTCTTTATGACGCGTTTATGTGTAAATAATAAACACGTGTGTATGAATAAGTTCCCGACAATCGCGCCAATCCCGCCAGTGCCGGAATCTGACGGGCGACAGAAACTTTGAGGGCACTTTTTACAAATTAGTACTACGACGAACACAGGAATATAATTATACGGACTTACACGTGTTTGTGTGACTAAATAATTGTTTTTGGAATGATAACCATTTGTTTGACAATAGTACTTAAAGAGCATTAGGGAGAAGTACCTAATTAGCTAAGTACCTATTTTATGTGGTAATCGCGATTGTGGCACAGTTCATTAGTAAAAGGGATTCGAGAGCAAAGTTGGCGAGTGTTAACCGATCTTGGGGTCGGCTATGTTTTGAGGTGATCGCCGCCGTCTGTTCGAATAGCCGTGTTATGCGCTTAACATCCTGCCTGCCGTAGATTACAAACTGATCGCAATCTTTCGATATCGTCGGAACGCGTCCGTCCCCTTCGCCACGTCGCGGAACTCCTTTTCGTGTGGTGCTTATTTGTGCGGTGGTAGTTGTGCTAAGTGCCGGGACACACGATCATGTGGCACCACGTCGGCCAAGTCAAGTGAGTACCGAACCAACAGATAAGTTAGCTGCACATCGAGGTGGGCTAATAGCCGCGATAAGAAGCCAACTGCGTGCGTTAATGTGAAATGTTTATTACATAATAAATTGAATGAAGAAATATACGTGTAGGTACTTACTACTTAAAGATTTCGCACTGTCGTAACCGCAATGCGGTGACGGAGCCTCGTCTCGCCACTCGCCTTTGTTGAGATATAGGTAACGAGTAAGTACATTTATAAAGTTATACAAGTCTCGTTAGCCTAGTTCCCTTGACGGCGCTAGATTAACACCTCCCGCCTGTGCCTGCGCTTTTGTGACGCTTATCCTTTGACGTTCGGAGCAAACGCACCTGAAGTCATTAACGCAACTGTCACAAAATGTGCGGAACATTCCACCTAACGAACGGCGCGTCACACGAACATTTAAGAGCGTTGAGTGTCGTTTTCATTTAATGATCTATTTATAATTTAATCAGTGTAATTAGATTCAGACGAGAATCAGTTTATACGAGGCTTGCGGTTTTCGGTATCTAATTTCCAAGTAGTTAGTTGTAATGAATAGGTATGTGTCACCGCACGCGACGCATGTACATACCGCCAACGTTGTGATTGAGCGCTTCCTTCCGCTTATCGTGTGGATTTCCATTAGTGATCCCCTTGTTTGCAATATGTTCCGTAGCTATGACATGGAACTTGTCGACTCACGTCTCAGGGCGACGGGCGCAGTGGCAGTAATACCCCTGGGGTCTTTGCGATTTTAAGCTCTGAGCGGCACTGCAACTGTTTTGGACAGGCGCTAGGCGCGTCGGTTACCATCACGTGCACGACTTCTTCGTCCCGTCACTTGATGTTTTATAAAAATATAACAAAAACTAATTCGGACAAACAGAAAGCAGCAGCAACTTGGAAATTCGGCCACTAGAACCGAAATAACGTTTCACCTAGCGAACCCTGTCATGAAACACTGCATTCTGACTTGGCGTCGTCCCGTAACGTATGCTAGGAGCAGGAGAAGGATGCATAAACTGAAGCTTGTTTATTTACGTGTGCTGAAGAAGGCGATGGCTCGGGCTCCGCAAGCAGTCGCAAGGCAAGGAGAAATCACCCGGCGGCGCTCAGTCGCCAGCCACGGCCGAGAAACCCGCACCGCTCAAGAAGGTGCCGTCAGACAAGAAGATCAAGGTACGCTTTTAACATCCGCAGTGCATTGAAACGGGAAAGTCTATGTTTTAAGATTGTACAAATCCATAGAAAATCGGGAAAATGGCGCAAGTATGTAGAAGTGCACACAGCTCCTTAGTTCGTCGGGCTGACTGTCGTAATTGGCATTAGGCAAATTTTTCAGGTCACAATATATACTCCCTCCCGGACACATAATTCGAGCCACCTCGCATTTTTGTCGTAAAGAGCTACAATACCCATAGAGGTTCCCCCGGCTTTGCAAGTCCACATATATTTGACAAGGATAGTCCTTAATCAATCGAACATTGTTTAAGCTTAGGGCATTCATTACTGATGCGAGGTGCCTCGAATTATGTGTCAGGGAGTGTATTATATTTTCGGTTCAGCATTCCACACGTTGAGTGTCATTCATGTCCATAGAGGTGGTACACGTACGAGGCTTAGTGGAGAGTATTCGCTTTTTAAATCTAACGCCTTACCGAGTTACGCCTTAAATGCTAGGATACGACAGTCAGTACAAGGATCGAAATAAAATATATTTTTTAACGCGTACACCCTCATAGCCCCGCTTCCTTAGTGGAAACCCTGTGTCGTGGGTGCCATGGATACATACATAGACAAGCTCAAATTACACCCAAAGTCACGAGAGAGAAATAAATGTAGGCCATACAAATATTTCTCCCGGCCCGGGAATCGAACCCCGCACCTCTGCATGGCAGTCCAATATGGTGACCGTTCTGCCACCGAGGCAGTTAAACCATCACTAATTGTAGCTTAATACGCATCACATAATATCTGATCTAGGAAAAGCAATCACTTAGTCGTCAATCTTTCGTCAATATGTTTCCCTTATCAAAGTCTTAGCTAGACACAAAATAAAGTTTCCTGGACATTTGCTTAACAGCTATACATATACCCGAGACACGGAGGGCCAAGTAGTGGGGATTGCTTTCGGTTGATTTGTATATCGGTTATTCAATGACGATGATCATTTCCCTTATACGAACTTGAAACGTTTCAATGAGCTTCCAATACCTAATAAAAAATATGCTATTACGAATTTACATAGTTTTTTTAATGGGACAGTATGGGGAAATCCGAAACCATAGAGGACACAAGGAAACTGTCTCGGTAATGTACACAACATTTACAGAATTTTGTAAAAACTGACACAATAAGTGAATAGTCCCTATAGTTACACAATAGTTTTTGACGGTCTTATAAAGATATGTGTGGTGTGAAATTAATACAACAAACACTTTTACGATTCATTATTTCTGGGCGTTTTTTATTTATGAATTACAAACTTAAAACTTTCCTTTTCTTAAAATGCTCGTTAAAATATTATATCTAAAATAACCATAGACAATATAATGACGTAAAAGAAAAAAAAATTTTTTGTTTAACGTTTGCTAGTGGCAAAATCCGAACGGACTTTCTCATGATCAACCTTTTATTTCAATTATTATTATCACGAGGGAAATTTTATCGTAGTGTGTAATATGTATACACATACATACATTATATAAAATACTCTTAATGCTCGAGATTTGTGCACGTTGAATAAAAATCAGAGTAATGGAAGTTTTAATGCTTGTGCGATGAATAGCTAAAATGTAGTCAACGCGTTTAGAAGACTTTTCCAACTTTCGTAACGTTTATAATGCAAATTGCAATCCGTAAGTGGATACCTCAGTGAGCGTAGTGCCAGAGTCGCCAACGCGACGTCCTGTCTCGTGCTTGAAACGACACACCAATTGATAGGTCTGTACGTAATTTCAATAAAGTCATATCCTAAAACTGTTGTTTTCCAATTCGTTTACACATGTACTTGTCTGAACTAGGTATGATGGGCTCGCTGTTGTGGGTGGAATCCAGCGAGTACTTTTCGTTCGTACTGTGTTGTCCTCACAATGGACAGACTAGTAACACTAGCAATAGCAATAGGAAACATTGGTTTGTATCGTTCAATGCTAACAGTTGCCGTACGCGGGCGACAACGGGCGACCTGAAGGCGAGGAAAGCAACCACGTGACGGGCGCGCTCGACGAAGCCGAGGACGACGCCGCTGACGTCGAATTGCCACCCCCCATGAAGCCACTGCAGGTACCGTAACAAAGCAATCGTCGTACATTTATGTCTACTTTTTCAGGCTAACGGCATATCAGACTTAACGTTGCAGCTGCTCCTGAGCAAAACCTCGGAAGGGGCAATTTTTTTGTAAATCATTTTTTAACGGTATACTACTGCCATAGTAAGTGCTCACCTAATGGAAGTGACCGCCGCTTAAAAATTCAAAACACCTAATAAAAGGCACACCTAGTCTTGTGAATGACCAGCCAAAAATGTTTTGATCACCTTATACAATTGGGAACAGCAAATATTTGACACTTGCTAGGTTTTATAGTAGTGAAAGTGCCTCACTAGGTAATTGAAACGGCAATTGGTGGGCAGTCAGAACCCGGGTGGCCGGGTCAGAACCCGGCTTACCGGAATCATTTGTAAAAACCATCCCTAACCGTATTTTCCCGCACTTTATTTAATGCTGTAATCAAATCAGAAGAAATTCTTGTTAAGTGTCAAAAAATACACGCAACAAAAGTTTCATTTTACGTGCCAAAAAAGTAGTACACGTAGTCCCTGGAAGCTTAACCAATTTGTGTAGCATAGAATTTGCGCAATAGGACCCGTGGCGAGCGCGGGCGCTTATTCCTTCCACTCCGTTAAACATCGACGACTGCACGCCGAGAATGCGAATTTGCGAACTCATAACGCAGAGAAGAACAGCTAGCATCTCCGCGCCCCTTAAAAGAACGAAGTACATATTGTAATGGCTCCTCTTCGCTCTAATACCAGTAACGGTCCATGTTTGAAGCTTTTGTTTGACCGAGGTAGCACACAGTCCACGGTTCATAGTACCGAACATAGAATAGCATAGCTGTACACTGAAATTAGGGGAAGCCGCCTTGCTGGAATGTTACTTAACTTGTATTTGACATGTTTACTTTCTGGTATACTGTAGCCAATATTTGTTTGACTTTCGTTTATGTGTACGCGGTACGGAACTGTGCTGCTCGACGTGCCCGCTCCGGTTTTAAGTAATCGGAATATGAGCGAGCACTTCACTCCAGAATGTTTTTGTATTAACTTGGCAGAACCCGCAAGCGGTGCTGCAGCAGGCTCCCGCCCCGGCCGCCGCCACTTCCGTGCCCACCGCGCGGGTGAGTACTCTTCGGGAAGTGCTTTTTCTCACGGGACCTATTCGTTTCTTCATTATAACAAGTGATTCACAATATTTTTCATTCCGTTCACTAACTCTTCTGGGTCCAGACAGGTGCTTGCGAACGGAAGGTCACTATGTTGGTACACTTTTCAGAATTCCTTGGCTTTGGACTCGTTGGAAAGTAACGGTGGTCCGGCCGATATTGCGGAGATAGAACAAATCGTCAAGGAGAAAATGGTTCGGTTTCTTAATCAAACCGTAGCATGTAGTGTGCATGTGTTTTATTTTTCATTATCCGTAACGGCGATTTCAAACGGGACGTGTTCGACGCGTAGTTGCGATAATTTCTTTCCAATTACGTGTGGCTTACCGTACACGGCACGAACACGTATAATGTAAAAACATTATTTTGACAATTATTTTGTTGTTTCATCGCCAAAGCACTACATTTAAATTGCATTACACGAATGTACGGGTGCCCTTTCACAAAATTATTGCATTCCAGCTCAGCGACGCGCAGAAATCATTTTTTTTATTAATTAAATAGACTGAATATGAAAGAAATATAAATATTGCTCGAATCTGTTTTACCGCTTGTGCAGTGCGTACATTATCCTTTTAATCGCTTGATTCGTTTAGTGGTCGGCTAGTTAGTTTTATTTAACGAGTAGTCAATAGTGCATGAACAGTTTTGTATCCACGTTTTAGTGATTCACATTTGAATAACGCCATCGAACTGTACGGTCTTGGTAGGCTATTTAACTTGAAATAATGTTATAGCTGGCGAAGTGTCGTCGGCTCGGGGTCGGGGGAGGCCCGTCACCTTCGACGGGCTGGCTCTTAAAAACCGTTGTTGTGAAAGTGTTGCGAAGCCGAGGTGGTGAGGTTCTGTGCGCGCGACAGGAGCAGCACGGCGGGTCGGGCCGCGCGGGCGACGCCGACGAGGAGGAGCAGCCGAACACGCCGGGCGCCGAGAGCGTCGAGGCGGTCGTCAAGAAGCGCGAGTACGTGCTCCGCGAACTCGTCGACACCGAGGAGATCTACGTCGCCGACCTGCGCCTCATCTGCGAGGGATACATGCGACACATGCAGGTGAGCACTGACAACAATAACGCGCAATCGTCGCACCGTGTCGAACTTGTCGTTCCCCGGTGTACGGTGTCCTCTCTGTAACGTTCGATCGACGGCAGCGGGACGAGGGGGTTTGGCAGAAACGTCAATGTCGTTGTCTTCCTGTCCCAGGATCCCAATGCTGAGCCGCCGCTCCCCGACGGTCTGCGAGACCGCCGTCACCGCATGATCTTCGGAAACATCGAAGCCATTTATGAATGGCATCGCGAGTAAGTACTTGCTGTCGTTGTTACATAACCGTTTGTATCTACACATGCATAATACTAATTACCGAGTGACAGACGCGAACACACCGTAGAGATAACCGCCACCACGCAACAGCGAATATATAAGCATATATATAGTACTTGTGAAGCGTCGGCTGTCGTCTCGACTACCTATTTCTAGGTGTTTGTTATTTACTCAATGTTCTTTTACATTCGTCGCGGCGTACTTCTCGTGGCGACTGGCTTGCGAAAAACGTATCGACACAATCGTATCGACGGACGGTAAAGGGACGTCAGACGAAGACGTTGTAGAACTAGCCTTACATTTATAGAAATAAAAATCTCAAACGAAGTTACCTTATGGTATTAATTTATATTAATTTATTAAAAATTTATTAATTACATGCATGACAAGGCTGTGTGATTATGCACTTAGCGTTGCGACTTGCGAATGAAACGATCGTTTAAATAATAAATAGCGAAATTGTTTTTGCTGTAAATCAATCGACGAGTCGGACGGTGTGCAGGCCCTTTGTATAGGCCAACAACAAAGTAATGCTACGAATTTGCAATGCGCAGTAAATTCGTGCGCGAGTTGCGGCCCTGCGTCGAGGAGCCCGAGCTGCTGGGGCCGCTCTTCCGCCGGTTCCTCGAGAAGCGGATGTTCCTTTACGAAACCTACTGCCGCAACAAACCCGTCTCCGAGTATATCGTCTCGGAACACGACCACTATTTCCAAGAGTTGAGGCAGAAACTCGGCCACAAACTCCAGGTGCGTATCGCCAATTCACAACACCAGGCATTTTCTGATATTTCTACGCCTGTTCCATTCACGCCCGCCCGTTTCATCTTTAAGCCAACACATGCAGCACAAACAGCATGAGAAACGCACATTGCGGATTCATTTTGTTTCTGGATCTATTTCTCAAATCCTGTGCTGCCCTCGGAACGAAAAAAGGGCACTTGTTCGGAATTAGGAAATAAAGGCCAATGTAACTATATTTTGTGGATATATGTCTCAGTAATTTTTATTAATTGTTGAATATACTTACGACAAGATCGAAGGGCACAACTGACTTCAATCATCACATTTTTTACTATAAAAAGTCATTTACGTTAGAAACACAAATAGCTAAGGATTTTTACTAAGTAATGTACGGAACTGTGCGCTTATCACGTAGTTCAGTTACAATTTAATAACACAAAAAGGCACAACTGAATACAATTGTGCACTTTAGTTCTATTCTTGAGCCAAGTATTAAAAGTCATATTTAAATTATTAAGTTACAAGAGAAAATTAAAGTATTTTTCGTGGAGGTGATTTGTAATATTTCCTTGGCAAAATTACTTCCTATTGATCGCTCGCTCAGCACGATCCCGACAAACCTCTGTTACATTCATGAATCTGTTCAAACAGGTAAGCCCCTCTATTTCTTCCTACTACGCGCTCCAACCTTGTACCCGAAAACGTTCTTCGTGACCGTCCTCTTCCAATGATATCTTCACGTTAACTCTATCAACATACCCTTTTCAATTTTTGTCACCCCACCCTCTTTCAACCTACATCGTCTATCACGTAACTGCACATGAACATTAAGGTATGGCTATAGTTGCGGAGTAACAATTCGGTAATGTATTGCAGCTCGCGGACTTACTGATAAAACCGATTCAACGGATTCAAAAGTACCACCTGCTGGTGAAGAAGATCCTTTCGTACTCCGAGAGCGCCAACGCTCCGCCCAACGTAATCTCGTCGCTGCGAGACGCCGTGCAATGCACTTCCATCATACCGAAAAATGCCAACGACATGATGGACGTCGGCCGCCTGCAGGGATTCACGGTAATATTTCTCCTTTTACGATAATCCTTTGACATTAGTATTTTTTTGGTTTCTTTGCTTTTCTTTCACATGCAAGCTTCTTTTTTTTTCTGTATGTTACTTTTTTGTTATGCAATTTGCAAAATGTATTTTGTTGCAGGCGAATCTAGCAAATTAATGTTTGATGGCCTCGACGCTTAGAGTAGTTCCTATAAAGGCACTGCTATTGCGAACCTAAAACATATTGCTGTTGTTAATATTTGGAATGAGCATTGCGAAATACGATACAAATGTGATACTTTATAACGCCTGTCCTTAATCGGTACTTACGTACGGCGTAACAGCTACTTAGCCTTAAGTTTAATTTTATTTCACGTGCAATAAATAAGTAAGAAGCATCGTATTGACGCTCTTCAGGGCAACATAACGGCGCAGGGCAAGCTGCTCCTGCAGGAGCCGCTGGTGGTGTCCGAGGTGTCCGGCAACGACAAGCCTAAAGAACTGCACGTGTTCCTCTTCGAGCAGTGCGTCATTTTCAGCGAGGCTGTCGGCAAAAAGAACCAATTCACCAGCCCAACTTTCAACTATAAGGCTCACGTTCAGGTAAACAACATTGGCAAGCATCATCAACTCGTACACGGCCCACTCCTATCAATTGTCATCTCGTTACTCGTCCTATGGCTGTGCACGGGTCTTCTCTATGGAGAGCTTTCGGCCGTAGACCGTCGCGTCCATGCAAATTGTAATTCATTATTTTGGTATTAAGCATTCGTAACTAATTTAAAAATTAAAATCATAGAGGTACGTACCACAAGCAACCGTTCATCCACAGAGCGACCGCCGCTCTTGTTTTATATTCTCTTGAAAATTAAATGTTCCTTCAAAATATGTGAAGCCGTTTGATTGCATTGACATCTATTGTTACGGTAGTGGAATCTGTCTTGGTTGACGATATTGTGTTTTCGATGGCTTAGTTGGAAGGTTTTTATTTTGCATCTGATATACATTCTATTTGTCAATTTATGATAATTTCAGGTGAACAAGATGGAGTTGGAAGAGTTAGAAAACGGAGCTTTCTTAATACATTCTGTTGACCCAAACAAGCCGAAGCAAACTTTCATGTGCCGAGCTCCCGAAGCCCGTAGGCAGCAGTGGATCGCGACACTGTCCAGTATTTTACAATCTCAGCGTATTTTTGGCGAAGCCTTAGAGAACCCAGGAGCTTACCTTCGCGAACTCCACCGTGACCCTGCTCGCGACCCCGCTGCGTAAGTAAACAACCCATAAATACAGTATGTGGTGTCACCCTCCTTCTAACGTGTGTCCCAAACCAAAGCAATATGAACACTGCCATTTGTATTGTGATAATATGGTATACTTTTGTTACCGACCCAAATTGAGTTTGGATGCACTTTCGGCCGATTTCGATCGATTCGTTTGATTGCACTTTGGGTCGGTCATTCGTAGGATTCGTTCACCTAGCCTAGGCTATTGTTTTTTCACAATTAGTCAATTGAACTATGATTCGTTAACATCTTAACAGAACTTAAGTGACGCCACGTATTGTACGCCTTGGTTGTTTAGAGGGGATTAAACGTGTTTATGTACCTCGTGGAACTAAACAATGCGTTAACACACTGCTTACTGATGCTAATTGAGGCACGTTTTGGTCGCAAGAGCTTTCCTGCCCTTGCTACTTGTTATACCAACAAATAAGGTGGGACATTCATCTATACCATTTGATCAACGGTACTTCTGAAAACTGAAGTACATTTCACAAAGCAAGTATTTGAATGCGCTCATGTCTTTTCTTGACGAGATTATCGCAGTCATTTATCGATGATGTATTGTATATAGTGTTTGTGGAATGACTAGGGACGTATAGGGTGATGTTTTGTTCAGACCAAAAAATATAGTTTCGCAACTATTCAAGTCGTATATCGTTGTCTTTTTTTATATCATAAAACATCGCCTGTATAAGTCCACCAATTAGTTGTGTTTTCTATCAAATGAAAACCTTGACAAATGAGCACTGTAGTGCGCTTAACTCAGAGATACTGACGCATAGTGTAAGATGATTAACATGCGGTGATGGATTCGATAATAATATTGTAATTAATTTAGTTATTACGTAAGTACAGTTGCTTACATTACACCCACAGAATAAAGCGGTGCTGTTTAAAAATATTGAAGTAATTCCGCTGGAACTGTCAATCAAAACATGACCTTACGCACGTAATAAATGAGAACACATGGAAATTTACAACAATGTTAACGTTATATATTAATATTCGAACGAAAATATTAAATTCCTACTTCAGGTTATATTTGTATGAAAATATTTTTATAGTTCTCAAAATTGAAAGAAGTAGTCCTTGCTTCTCAAAGAGTATTTTGGTTAGACGCTAAAAATATTGGACAAAGCGACGTATTTTAAAATCGTGTAAGTCACGTTAGTAAGAACAGCGAGTTAGGTCCTCTGGACTTGTTCAGCTAATAGTGAGCGATCTAGCCGCTACTTTGTCCTTTGTAACAACATTTGTTAAATACGTACAACGCACAACTAAGGATAGGTTTGTAAACTCTCAAAAAAACATTGATTTTGTTAATGTTGCACGATTTATTTGGGCCAGCAATGATACTAATTCTGAAACACGCTTGATTTTATTCTATTGGTGTTACTCTTTATTCTGTGTTAGTGTAACTGAAGTACACTTTGCGACGAAATCACACAATACACGTCGTATTTACGCATAAATTATATTAATTAGTTAATAATAACTGTCCATGTTAGGTTAATTATACTGGAATTGAAATTTAGATGTATTTATCTAATATAAGTAATTAGGAAAGTGTTAGGTGTCGATTTATGCCTTCTATTTTAAGTTTAGCTTGTACTGTATCTTTTGACTAGTGCTGTTGTTTGTTGTGTCATGCGGCTATGTACACTGTCTCAGATTTTCAATTGTACATTGAAACGAAACTGGAAGAAATACTTCGTCTACAAGTTGTTGAAAGTGGAATCGCACACATTATGTTCATTATACAAATTGCTACATATGTGCGTGCGCTCCAACAATGATGCACATAGTGTACTTGTTGCCAATTCCAATAGAGTCCCTTCGATATCGGTATTGGTGCGGTTCTGACGCGAGGGAAGAAATGTCGCTGTCGTGATGATATATGACATAACGTATTTTTATCTTTTAATAGAACGGTATGCATAGTGGAAAGACACACAAGAGACGTCCTACAAATGTTGTTTGTTTCCGTTATCGTTTGACACTAGTGTTTTGTTATTGTTTTCGTTAAAATAGCAATGAAACGTCTAAGACGTTAGTGATGATGAAACTGCCGACCCTTGGTCTGTTGCCAGGACTACCATAACCAGAAAGGAATTGACGTTGTGTAAGAAATTAGCATTAGATATTGTGTCGTTTAATACTGCAATAATAGTTTAGACTGGCGAAAACTCCTCATCATAGTTGCCTTTTAATAAACATATCGATCGTAAGGTTTGACACTCGCCTCATCATCACTTTGGAGGAAATTGAAGTGCACCGGGTACAATGCGGTTTTTGACAAAGATATAGCAGGAAGTGGTTTAAAATGTGTGAGGTGATCTACCTGGTACCAGCTGTGATTACCTGGGCAGTAACGCAAAGTCGTTTAGTATTGATATCGTAGAGCGTCGCGGCGATGGAAAGTTGTGATAAATTACGTTTTAAACTATTCATTAGTATTTAATAAAACAATTTGCATAAAATGTTAAAAATGTCATGACGTCATTAGCGAAATTCCATCTTTTCTCATCACATTAATGTCACATAACTTTCGTGATTAAGTAAATTTTGCGAGAGTCATCACTGTCATCTTAGTAGTGTAATACTCGTTTTATTGCATTGAAAACCCATTTTTAACTAGTTATTTCAATACCATAACATGTAACGTGTCATTAGATAAACAGCCTCAATTCGCATTTAACTAACACTTAGTTGATATGTCATTATCCAATGTACATAAAGTATATACCTGGCATAACCCGTGCTATGGATCATTTAAAGTTTAGGCGTATAACAAGGGATATATAACTATTCACGCGAACTCCTTTCATGTCACGGTCAAGCATCTGGTTGTTCCAGCGAGTGTATTAATGCAATAACTGCGGGCGAGTTGAGCAGATACCTTTTTATACATACGCAATAGGCTTAGTGTTACGTAGGAATCGACGAAGACTGGATAAATGGAATGTCTGTGCAGGATTGAGAATTGGGAAGGATGGTCTTAGTGTACTGCATGCTAATATAGGCGCTATGAACTATACGTAGAACAGACTGGAACGCGATACGCTTGTGATAAAGGAGTAAGTAACAAGAATTTTCTTTGCTAGGGACAGGCTCATTAACCTAGAACGCGAGCGAATGAACTTAAATCGCACCGGCCTTTTAAAATTCGTAGCTGTCGTCCTTCAAGTTCTACAGATAGTAAATAGACAGCATATTTTAAATATATATAGTCGTAGGTGTAGTCTTGTCTACTGATGATTCACCCTGAGAACTTTGTCATTCATACAGTAAATAACGAATACGAATTTTTGTTCGGCAAGCGGCAAAGTTGAATCCATACATTTACGTCAAAGATTAGCATTTCCCGTATTAAAGAAACATGGATGTGAATCTGATTGTTGTTGCTGTAATTGTTAAATCGGCCCTTCGAACGTTATATTCTATTATGACGCAAGTACAACACAACTGCAAATGATTTCCTTTCTCTGTAACGCTCGGTAGGTTTATGTCTTATAAGTTGCTATCGTAGTAAGAGGACTCTTTATTGTCTAGAATGAAATACCACTTGACAATAAGGTTCGAGTTCACTTTCTCCGCAGTTTAGCTTAAATGGTAACATTTGTATTCGGTGTGTTAAGCATAAGTAACACATAATATGCGACCACGTTGTCAACCATGCACATGCAACCGCTACTTCGACCGCGTAGAATAAGGCAAGTGCGTATTTCACACTTAGTGCACGTATTTGCACTTGTTATCATTAACCTTGTTAGTGCCATTTTCCTATAGGTTTACGTAATATTTAAATATATATCGTATTTACTCTATGGAGAATGAGGTGTTCAGAGTCCGCCGTCAAATCCATTACTTGCGTTCTTGCTAGTGGTTTTAAATAGATATCTACTATTTTTGTAGTTTGCGTTAGCGCGGCCACTGCTACTAAAAGTGAACTTTAATTATTGATTTATTCAGGTGCGGGGGCCAATTATGTTTGCATTAATTTTGTTTTAGCCTTAGATCTAGAGGTTACTGAGCGATTGTAATTGAGAGTCGTTTTACTAAAACGTGACATCAGTTCCAGTTCTGCACTCACTGACTAGTGAGAAAACTTACCGCCTGTGTTTGTTGGCACAACATTATTAGCGTACCGAAAGAAGCAATACTTGATAGTTTTAGTGAAACGTCGCCGAGTGCAAAACTTGGACTGCGTCGTACGTTTTATGTTCCTACATGTTCCCATCGATAAGCGTAAACTAAACTTAAGGTACTTATTTTAATGCTTATTAAAATCGGCTTTTCATGTTTATACATAACGTTTACTATATTGATGTACCGTTTAATATTAAGAACAAACGCATTCCATGTTCCGCTGTATTGGACTCTACGCTCAATTGCAATTTTCGAGGCAAAACGAATTGGCGGTACGCATTTCGTACTTTAGTATCTACTACTTCCGTTAGCACCGCTACGTGTCCGGCTTTCCATGGGGCATCTTCACTCATTTAATCATAATAGAAATTGTATGTTTTAGTTTGCAACAACTGGCCAACCATATGAACGGTTGAGATCTCGCTTGAGCGAAGGTTCGACCTGAACTTGTCTTCCCGGGATCTAGATTTGTTTCAAGATTTACTTTGTAAGCAACGTTGCTTATTAGAGAAAGGCGGTTCACGCCTTGTTGTGGCTGCTCCAGTGTTCCCTTGAAATTTCAGAATTGAATAATCGAGGCCTGTTGTCAGATATAAGTTCATTTAAATATCATTGGAACAGTAATTTGATTGGCACTACGAGTCATACAATAACGGCCAGGGCTTTTCGCCACTTGCGTCACCAATTTACATTATTCGCTGCCATTGCGAAGGACAGTGTTATCTGCGTACGCCCTTTTTCGCTAGCATTTTCTCTACGTCAAGATTACGTCGGTCGCGGCTCACGTGTTTCTTTCTTTGATTATTTATTGGTACCTTAATTAGATCACTGTCTTATATTTTTAATAGACTATCACTTTCGACCAAGGTGTTTGAGTTTTCTAAACTAATATTCGAACACTGATATTCTAGTTTTGTAACTTTCAAATTATGTGTATATATATATATATATATATATACATATATATGTCTATCGTATCTTAAACTTATTATGTATATAATATTAACTTATTCTAACATTACTGTAACACCGAGCTGTATGTTACACGAGTAACCAATAAATGTGAACAAAAACTGCTTGTGGTTTTCTGCTTCTAGTCCCGCATGCTTACTTATGTTGTGTTCTTCATTTCTTTTTTCTTTGTGGGGCCCAGCTTAGCCGATTAGTGCTGAATACTTTTCAATTGTACAACATTTAGAGCAGTCGCAAGTTATTAAATGAATAAACGACTCTATTCTCTAGTTTTTGTTACCCATTTTTTTTTCCTTTATTTCAATAACGTAACAATAGCAAGTTAACAGTTGACTCCTAAGCTGTAGAGCCCGTTTATGTTTTATTTTATTTATTTTTTAATTTCTCCTATTCCCAACGGTAGTATGGGTGAGGGATTGTGCGGTCTACGTAAGACGGAGAGCGTGCCACCGTCCCTGGGTGGACGGCTGGCGCCGGAGCTGCGCGCGCGCACTCAGCGCCTGCATGCCAAGGCCAACACCATCAACTTGCCCACTACCACGATCAAGGCCGACGACCGCAAGAAGGTCAGCGCCAACGTCGCCGCCAACAACGCGGCGGTGAGTCCCACCTCGCCACCGCAGGCTAACGTAAGTACTATTCCAAATCTAGTCATTGATCGAGGTCAAACTAACACCAACCGCTTAATACGAGCGCGGGATAATGTATCAATATTCCTCTTATTTCAAAATAAATAATTAACGACCTCTCCAATAATAAAATAAGTTATAGTAACAAATGTATGGCCATCTGGAATCGAAAAAAATGGAAGTAATAAAAAATGCGATTGATTCTGAAAATAAACAAAGTATATAGCATCTGCCTACACGTATAGGTCACAATAAAGAAATGTTACTAACGGGAGTGTGTGCCATAGGTGGGAGCAAAGCTGTTCTGTCTTGGGGTTATTGGTCACTTTAATGGATGATCAAGGTTTTTGAATAACATTTATTTGCACTGTATTTGTATTAGTGGTTAAAGAATACAACTGCCGTTCAAAAAAATAGTCTTTTTGTATAAAAACACTACTTATTTAAGTAATATAATTCGGGTTAATTTTAAGTTCGCAACACGGATTTGCTAAAGTTCGTGACTATATTAAAAGTAATGCGAGTTTAGAAAAATTAGCGACGTGAATGGAGCGAATACGACTGTCATAACCACCGTGTCAGAGACTTGAGTTTGCCCAATTTTAGGAAATTTTGGCCTGGCAATCATTTCCAGCCTCGTGGACGACCAAAGATTTAGGTGGATAATGACCAGATGCGAGCCATTGCAAACGATGGAGGAGTTCACGGCAATATTTGATGTGACCCTCAATACTGAACCTTTTGCGCCACAGATCGGTAAAACAAAAAGAAATCTAGAAGTACCGTACTAATCGTCCGGACTTTTGTGCGCGTTGAATCGTGTCAAGAAAGATGATTTCTTTATGGTAATCACCAACAATCGACACTATGGTTGAACCCCTACGCATAAAAGGCGTCAGTGTCTGTCGGATGGTCCAGATCCGGAGTGATCCACTATAGTAAATATTACACAGCAAATCTGGTCCAGTGGGACCAGTTGATAGTGATCAATGCTGATCATTATTATGAATATATTTATGACACGACTGACACGGCCTGCAGCGCGTGGTCGGAATCAGATTACGGGGTGTGCTTATGCTCTTCGGTGGCACAGCGATTAGTACTATGGGCGCTTGATGAGGAGGCTCCTTGAGCCAATTTATGAAACAAACGTTTTTAAGATGGTTCTCAATCGTTACTCTGGTATTCATAGTACAGGAAATTCCCTAGTTTAACATTTGGTGTGATTGTCTCGCATTTTTCCCTAAATACTTCTCTTTGACATAGCTTTCAAGAAAAAAGAATCTAACAGAGAGACGGTTGAGATACAACAACTCTATAAGTATCTTATTTCCACTACATCGGGAAGTATGCCTTACATTTTGAACAATTGCCATATTGAAAAATGGTGAAAAACCAATTGTGACCGCAAATTATTATCAAGCAGTCCTAGACGGGTGTCTAGGGTGACGACATGCCAATTTTCAAAGGGCAAATCTGAGCAAATTTTTTTCTGCCGCCAACGAACGCTTCTATGGCGGCCGTATTTGAAAGTAGCAAACAACAAATTTTGACCACAAATTATTATCCGGCACTTCTAGAAACCTACGGTACAGTAGCCTTACTAAAAAATAGCGAAAATAAACTTTTGACCCCAAGTTATGATTGAGGATACCCTTGGAGCATATAGCACGGGAGGCGCTATTTTTAACCGACTTCAAAAAAAGGAGGAGGTTCTCAATTCGTCTGTATGTTTTTTTTTGTATGTATGTTACGCGATAACTCGGCCATTTGTGAACCAATTTTGATGATTCTTTTTTGCTGGAAAGAAGGTACCTCAGATGTGGTCCCATTTAAATTTCAAGAAAATATTCCACCTCTAAGGGTGGTAAACTATGCATGATTTTTGAGGTCGGTTTTTTTAACCGGAGGTTAGGTTATTTATTTCTCGAACAAAACTTTCTGCCACCTTTTGAGGGACCGGGAAGTAGGACTACTAGCAAACTGGTGCACTCAAATTCACAATTGAATTGTGTCTTTATGGTCTCACACAAACAAAAATCTACAACTAGCTTATTTTTACAAATACACAAATAAAACACACATTCATTTCATGTCCGTACACAGAATAGGCCTATAAAAATAAATCGATTCTCATGAATATACAGAGACGAAAGTTATCGACGTGACGGTGTCGATATGTATTACGTGCTGGTTAATCACGTAAATGAAAAATGTAATTCCACCTTTGGGTAGACTGGTCGTAGAGGATTTCTTTTTGCAATTTTGTGTGTAGTGTAACAGTGGTATTGTTTTACTTGTATTTGCCAGAAGAGATTGCACATTAACTTACCAATAAATGGATGACAATAAATACAATCCAAAGTCTAATCCAAAAACCGCAAAGAATGTCTTTTTTCAGTTTTTGGCTTTTCGCGGTCAGGGTTGGAGCCATTGACAAGCATATCCGGAGAGTTTGTACAAAAGTCGACATAATAATATATATACATATACACTCCCGGACACATAGTTCGAGCCACCTCGCATCAATGTTAAAAGTCCTAAGCCTAAACAATGTTCGATTGATCAAGAACTATCCTACGCAATTTTGAAACTAGTATATTAAAAGTATTTTGTATAAGTCCTTTTTGGAAATTTGGACTTACAAAACCGGGGAAATCTTTTTCTTCGACGATAACACTATTTTTTATTTTATAGCCCTTTAAGGCAAAAACGCGAGGTGGCTCGAATTTTGTGTCCGGGAGTATATAAATTAATTAATATTTACGATAAGGGCTACTCCATTACTCTTGTGTTCAAGTAATTTTCAGTCGAAGCTAACCGTATTTAGCTTCGACTGAAAATTACTTGAGCATTTTGTTAAATTTCCAGTAGAAGCTGGACAATGTATTTTTGGGCCCTAAATTGTTGCAAGCAAAATAAGGCAGTACTGCAATGACGTTCCAATTTAAATCAAATGTCTTTAATATTTCGTTACATGTCACTACGTTTGTGTAGGTTAACTTCGGACATTTTTTCATGGTTTTTGTATTAGACCCGACGTCCATTTATTGGTAGGTCAATGATAGTTGCTTGTTAGTAAATAGGGAACTTCATAGGCATGCTTATGTCAAATGTTCGAATGTTTTCAAAAAAAATTTTATGTAATCGATAAATTGAATCAATGTGAACATTGTGAAAAAATGTCATAAAATAGAAATTTAAATTTAATAACTTGAATTCTTTTTGACACAGGTAGTTGATCGCTGTTACTCTGTATTACATTCCTTGAAGCACCTCCTACAGTACTCTAATAGTTTCCGTGACAAAAGAACTTGATCCGCATACAACGGTATAAATATCTTTATCTTTACGCAATAACGCCAGAATTCGCACAGCTGAACGAGCCATCTTCATCTTTAATTGAATAGATGTTAATGTTATGGAGTGTTTTTGTTTTAAATTCGCAACGGCGTACGTCTGACGGCATTGTATACTTTAACCGTTACGTTTTAGACTAAGTTGAGTAGTTTTGCTTTTTATCTTTTTCGTTAACGTTGTAACGAACGCTCTCGTTGTACGCTTAATCTAAAGAGACCAATATCGCTGCGCCTTTCTTTCTTCTTTGCATGTGTTCTTGTTTTAACGCTTTTCTGTATTTCTTTTGTTGTAGGTATGATTACACGGGAATGCATTTTTAACAGACTGTGATAGCGGGCCGAAACGACTCACGCGCGAGACTTCGTATTTTGCATTGAGCGATTCGGACTTTCCGCCGGAGACTACGAATAAGATATATTTATTTATTATAACTAGTGTAGAATATTGCGGGAGCGGACGGGGGGCGGGTCGGTGGCGGGACCTCGGGGGGCGCGCGCGCGCGTCGGGCCGGTTCCCTTCGCTCGCGTTGCGTCCGGCGCCGGACGAGTTGGGTCGGCGATATTTACGGCGTGTGCGTCGCGACAGGGCCTCTCGAAGCGGCCGTGGGCGCTGAAGCTCCGTCGGGGCGGGAGCGCCGGGGCCGCCGCCGGCGACGCGGGCGCCGAGGGCGCGGTGACGGAGCTGCGGCCGCCGGAGTTGTCCGAGCCCGTCGCCGACGTGACGGTCGCGCCGGGCGCCACGGCGACGCTGGCGTGCCGCGTGGTGGGCGCGCGCGTCACTGCCTCGTGGCGCAAAACCTCGCCGGAGACGCGCGCCCTTGGCCCTGGCGGGCGGTTCGCCGTCGCCCTCGCCCCGGACGGAATGGCTTCGCTCACGATCCGTGCGTGCCGGGCGTCCGACGCCGGCGTCTACTGCTGCCTCGTCAGCAACGAGCTCGGCGGCGTGCAGACCTCGGCGCGACTCACCGTCGGTACTGCGGGCACGCCCGGGGCGCCGGCCGTGCGCGCGCACCCCGGCGGCGGTCTCGTCGTGCAGTGGGACGAGCCCTCGCCTGTCCGCCTCGAGTGCCGCCGGGTCGGGGAGAGCGAGTGGCGGACGGCGGCCGAGGCTCCCGCCGCGGCCAACACTCTGGCCCTCGAGGACCTCCCGGCCGGCCGGTACGGCTTCCGTCTGGTCCGCGCCTGCGGCGGCGCGCCGGGGCCGGCGGCCGAGGCGGCTGCGAGCGGTGGCGGCGGGGGCGGCTGGCGTCGGGAGCAATTCGCCAGGAGATATGCGGTAGAGGAGGAGATCGGCCGGGGCCGGACGTCCAGGGTGCTAGCGGCGCGAGACACCGGCACCGGGCAGCGCGTCGCGCTCAAGCAGGTCGGTAGACGGCTGCCGTGCCCTCGCGTGTCCCCGCGGCGGACACAGCTGACGCGGCCCGCTCCGCAGGTGCTGGCGGGCCGCGGCGCCGACGCCACGCGCGAGTTCCGCGCGCTGTCGCGCTGCGCGCACGGGGCGCTGGTGCGCGCGCTGGCGCTGTTCGGCGACGTGCCGCGCGCCGGCGCGCACACGCTGGTGCTGGAGCTGGTGGGCGGCGGGCCGCTGCTCGAGTGGGCGGCCGCCGCGCCGCACCTCTACACGCAGCGCGCGGTCGCCGC